CCTAATGGGCCGTGCACGGTTCAAGGGAGCTGCTCAGATGGCAGCGTAATCAATCTGGGGGAAGCGGGGAGGGAAGGGCTGAGGTCCAGAACAAGACACAGGCAAGACTTCACATCAACAAACCTTGTGTCTCTCAATAAGACACGCATAGGCGGCTTCGCTTCAAAAGCTGTTCTCGGATCTAGGGAATCGCTTTGGGATTATTGTAATTAAGGGGATGGGGAAAGCAGGTTGGACTGTTTTGGGGGTGCATTGGGTTTGGTCTTTGTTTGTTTGTTTTTTTTTTTTTGCAGGAGACACATCGGGTGTGCATGGAGGATAAGTTCTTCTGCTTCCTCATCCTTCCCCTACAATTAGCACAATAATCCCCTCCCTGGTTTCTGCCACTGAGGACTCAGATGCATGCAGTCTCCAAAGCTGCCAAGAGATGCCTCCTGCCCCAGAGACCCTTGCTCCTCACCATGCAGTGCATGCGACTGCAAAGGACGGGTCTCCAGAGGCAGGCATAAAGAGAGGATAAGGGGCAGTGCTGGGCAACGTGGAATACGAACGCGAGTTAGACGTCACAAAAGGCTCGACTGTATCAGGTAACCGGAATGAACTGAGGGGAGACCAGAGCCAATTTTCTCAGCACCTGTTTACTAACAGATCAAATGACAGGTAAAAGTTGAAGTCCTCCCCTCCACACACTCGCATGCACACCCACCCACCGAGATGCTTCAGCCACTTCCCGCTAATGGAGCAAAACAGATGAACAGAAATAGATTTACTTTGCATCCAAACTGTAGATGCTTAAAAGGTCCCCGCTGTATAAATGGCACGAGGGATTAAAGCATGCCGGAAAGAACGCTTCTTCTGTAATCCTACATAATTAATGGGACGCAAGCCCGCTCAATACATTAAATGCCCAACATGCAGGCGCAAGCTGTTTGCTTTAACTGTCTTAAATGAATCCCACCCCCACCCACCCGGTGCAGTAAACAGCAAGGGGCTGGCAGGGAACCTGACATCACCCGTGTTTGCAATCTGCTGTCCAGGGGGCCTGTCTAATTGCTTCTGCTACAAAACGCCCAGGAGCTGCTGTCTGAGCCCCGCGGCGTGCAGGGGTGCAGCACAGACGGATACACCTGGTAGAGAGGCTCACATTTCAAGATGTTACCCCTTGGTAACTCATGAGGAGCCAGGGATGTGCTTCATTTACCGCTATTCAGCACTTGTACAGCGGTGAATAAGTATTAAGAAATGATGCGATTAAAATAACGCAGACATCCAACCCAACTATCTGCCTGTCCTTGGAGCTTTCTGGGAAGTAGAGGGACAAATTCTCTGCTGCTTAAGGACACCAGACAGAACAGCTTACAATCAATTACTTTTCCCCCTGTCTTCCCTTGGTGTTATAAGGAATGGGTAGCCTGGGGCCACATTTAAGCCCCCCTGCCAAATGTGGGTATTTCTTAGGTTACTTGAAAAATCTCCATGCCTTGCCAAACAGCTGATGCAAGACAGATGTTTGGATTCAGAGAGGTACAAATAACGTGACAAGCATAAAATTGGGCCCACAAACAAGGGCTGGGCTGAGGTCCTGCAAGACAGATATGTGGATAACCATAACCATCATTCTGGGGACATGAGTAATGAGCTGTGACTTCTGCTTTTCTGTTCGGACCTGGTTATTTGGGTACCTCGGCCTCCTGCGCTTCCCCACTTTGTTCCTCTGTTCTGCTCACATTTCATAGACTTCATAGACATCAGGGCTGGAAGGGACCTCGGAAGATCATCGAGTCCAGCCCCCTGCCCAAAGGGCAGGAAGTCAGCTGGGGTTCATAGGATCCCAGCAAGATGAGCATCCAGTTTGCTCTTGAAGGTGTTCAATGTAGGCGCTTGAACCACCTCCGGTGGCAGGCTGTTCCAGACCTTGGGGGCTCGGACAGTAAAGAAGTTCTTCCTTATGTCCAGCCTGAAATGATCTTGAAGTAGTTTATGACCATTCGACCTAGTCGTCATCCCTTGGGGCGCGCTGGTGAACAAACGTTCCCCCAGATGCTGGTGGTCACCCCTGATAAACTTGTAGGTGGCCATCAGATCACCCCTGAGCCTGCGCTTTTCCAGGCTAAAGAGCCCCAGGGCTCTCAGCCTGTCATCGTAGGGTCTGCTTCCCTGACCTCCGATCATGCGCGTGGCTCTTCTCTGGACTCTCTCCAGCTTCTCCACATCCTTTTTGAATTGTGGAGCCCAAAACTGGACACAGCACTCCCGCTGCGGCCTCACTAAGGCCGAGTACAAGGGGAGAATGACGTCCCGGGATTTGCTTGAGAAGCATCGATGGATGCCAGCCAGCGTTTTGGTCGCTTTCCTAGCCACAGCATCGCATTGCAGGCTCATGTTCATCTTGTGGTCAATGATGCCCCCCAAGTCTCTTTCTTGCATAGTGCTAGCCAACATAGCACTGCCGAGCCTATAAGGATGCTGCGGGGTTTTCTTCCCAAGGTGGAGAACCTTGCATTTATTGCACCATGCAATGTCATAGAGGACGCAGAGATGCTCTTACTCATTACTTGTCTACAGGGTAGTATTTGGGGCCCAGGTCCTAAATGAGCCTCTGAGTTGCCACTCCCTTGTACATCAATAGCAAGGATGATGATGATGAGGATGTAGTAAAGGAGCAGTGGTATTCATTAGCTCCTGCATTACCAGGGGGAAAACAACCCTGCTAGGGAGGACTCAAGTGCCTTCTGACTATTGTGGGCCAACACAATGCCAGCCAGTGCCTAATGCCATAGGGCAAGACAGGATCCCTGCCGCGTGCCCACAAGTCTGTTCCCACGCTAACGTAAAGTCGCGGCTTCTGAGCTAATGCTCTGAGACCACTAAGCATCTCATTCAGCAGGCAGAGCCAAATGAATGGATTTGACCAGCTTAATGCTGGGCTTTGCAACCTGTTCATTAGGAGGAGGGAAAAGCCCAGTTTGATGGGAGATCAGTAACAAGGCCCAGCAAGACCTCCTGCTCCTTTCAGAGGAAAGGAACATGGGCTCTCTCTTTGCCTTGGGCAACTAGCCCTGCTTTTGTGATGCAAACAGGGAAGAATTTTATCTTCCAGGGCCAATTACTCACCCCGAGGTCTATGGGGAGGGTGGGAGGTGAGGGGCAGCAGAGAGAAGCAATGTGGCTTTACCCTTAGGCTCAGCTTCTGCAGGCAGCAAGTTAACCCATTCATAGCCCTCCAGCAAGAAGAAGTCCTGCCATAATCAGCCACTTGGTCACCAGCACCAGAGGATAGCCAAGGCCTTCCTACCTTCACAGTCTTCCCTGCAGAGCAGAGGTGGTGCCTGAGCTGACAGGGAGAGAAGCAGGTCCTCCTGATGCAAGCACATCCTGGGTGACCACGAATTAGGATGAAGCCAACACGATACTTTCCTGGCATTGTCCTTGCCAAGCCTTTGCTCCTCAGCAATCGCGGCGTTAAAGGTTTCCAGCCCTTACATATTTGCTCTCTATAGGCCAGAGTGTCAACTCAGAGTGGCTCCTTTGATGTGGGGATTTACGCCAGCCAAAGGATCATCCAACTCTCCACCTTCATGCTCTGTTGATAGGTCAACGAGGCCTACACGTTATGACCCCAGGAACACCGCAAGCCCCTACGTTTTATCCGAGTGGTGTTCAAAGGAACTTCTTCCAGCTGCCATTGCTCTCCCCCCGGCCAGAGACGACAAGGCCACAGGCGCTTTGGGGGTGATGTCTGCAGCTCAGTGGAGGCAAGGAGGAGAACAAGGGCAGGAAGCTCCCCCTGCAGAGGGGGTGTACACCTGACACTGTGCTGTCATCCCACAACAATTAAATTCCCTTCCACGTGCATGTGCCCTTGCTGAGATTGCTTTTTTTTTTGCCAAATCTTCTGACGAGTGACCTGGCTGGAAGGAACATTTGTGTGCATAGCAAATTTTCAACTCAGATGCATGCATTGTTTTTGGACTGGGACCATGCACCTAAGATTTGGTGCCATCCATCCAACCCAGGAACAGAAAGAAACAAATCTCACGTGACCCACATGCCCTAAGCAAACTGGCACCACTTTTGGATGGAAAATGCTTGCGATGAATTGCTCAAGAATCATCCACGGACCAGGAATCATTCGCAATCAGTTCAAGCCCATTGGAGGCAGCCTGCTGGCAATGCATAAAGAGAACAAGGAGAGTCTGAGCCCGCTGTAGAAAGCAGTTTCTCTGGTTTGCTTTTGTTCCCTTTCCTCTGAACACATTCCCCTCTTTCCAATCCAAACCAGTTTCTCAGTACCAGACTAACTCCTGTTGTGCCATCCGCAGAGGCAAACCACAATTCACTTAGGAGAAAATGCAAAATAAACAAAGTGGCCGCCCAAGACCTGGATTCAAAACAGACCTTGCAAGGGACTGCTCAACTCACTCTGGGAGCCCTGTGTTCCTAGAGCCAGTCACGCACGCCGCGGTGCCCATAATCAAACCGTGGGCTAACTCAGCAATGTATCTGTGGCTGGCCCAGAGAGCTGCACAGCTGGGGTCAAATATTACACATTCTTGAAGAAACGGGCCGACTGGAAGCACAGAAAAATGACAAGACCTCAGCTGCATTCAACTCTGGGTGGGACTAGAGAGACTTTTAAGCTCCAAACCTTTCGTTTCTTGGTGCAATGCGAATGCGCTGCCTCGTTGCTTGACATCACTTCTTAAGGAGGTGAAAAGATATTTTTGCCATGCCCCAACATTTGACTCTCCACAAAAGCCTGAGCTGTCCTAATGCACAGAGCCTCTGGCTTCTGAGCAAAATGATATCCGTTTTCCTCCACTGATGGCAGGAAATGTCTCTCCAATTCAACCCAAAGTCTCTGGTTTTATCCCCTTCCAGCTCATAAGTCCCTAGTAGGAAATAAGTGGGGGAGCAGCACAAATCTGGCATATGCAGTGCATTAGGAAAGGGGAGAAGCCACCAAGCAAGTCACTCCGGGGACGCAGAAGCTGGCTTACCTTCTTCAGCTTGCCGCTCTTGGTCCCCACAAACACCACGCTGTAGCCGTTGTAAACGTACGAGGCAACCGAGGTCATGCGGTCCCGGCTGGTGGTGAAGAGGGTCACCCCTTCCACCGGCGTGGAGCCCCCGAGGGGCTGGTTAATGTCGAGCCCACAAAAGTTATCGTCTATTGGGACTGGCTGGAAAAGACAAGAGATCGAGCAGGTGTGAGCGAATGACCAGGCCAATGGCAAAGTCCAGACCCGAGCTCGCGGGCTCCTGTGGAGCTGGGAGCCCAGCCCTAACCCGCGGGCGAGCGCACCATGGGGTCCCATCCACAGCCAGCTTGTGCTCACGGACAACCGGGGACTCTTTCAGCCACCTCGCCAGACAACATCAACTCCTTGCCCTTTGTTATCTAGGCCCAGGAGCATGGCACCTGCAAGGGTTCAGGCTTTTGAGAATAAAAATGCCCAATGGCTGCCAGGAAAACCAGCACAGATGGGACTATTGAGGATCCCCAACTTTGCCAAAAGATTCATTAAGGCTTTTGCTTCTCCCCGCTCTGAAATCCAGGAGTTTTCTCCCCGTGCATTCCTGACCCATGCTTGGGTCTACTGCCCACTACAAAAGGGTCTGGTCCGTCACATGGCTGGGCTTCAGCTGCCCTAAAGCACCCGCGCGCCCACCCCCAGCCCGGCTCAGAGCATGGCAGGAGGTCAAAACCCATTCACAAACCCAAGCCCATTCTCCTGCCCGCTTTGGCAGCGTACAGGTGGCAGGGAATCAGGCAGCTGGTGCCTGCTCCCATGCCTTGCACCAGCAAGCAGCCTGCGGGAGTGGCTGCGTTGCTGTTACAACCCTGGGAAGGCAGGGATCAGAAGCGCTCGCCAAAGGAAATGCAGGTGTCTGCTCTCAGCCTCCACACTCAGAGCCCAGAGAGGAAGCTGCAATTTCCTCCTTGCTGCTACTCGGTCCTTTGGGGAAGCAGCCGCCTCCCTCTTGTACAAACAGGCGGGCTCCCGGGCTGCTTCAGTGCTCCGGGCCCCCTGATTACACTCCTCATGTGAATGCGACGCTGTTGGACGGTGCCAGCCTGGCTGCCCTGCAAAGGGAGGTGCCCACCTGACCCCCTGGACACCCAGGAGGTGTTCCTATGGCAGCACAGGATCCCCATCTCATCCCCAAAATGCCCCAAGGGGGCTAATTGGTACCTGGGCTCCGTGGCC